TCATCTGCATAACAACAGGATTTTTTCACCAAAATATACTCCTAGGCAAGTAAGATCCTTGATGGACATATATGAAACATTCAACATGGTAATGCATGAACGTGAATGGTATGAAGAGGCAGTAAAGCAATACATTTTTATCAATGCTATGGAAAAGGAGATTAAAATGATTAAAAAGAATAATACTTGGGAGCTAGTGGATTGCCCATATGAAAAATACATTATTGGAGTAAAATGGGTCTATAAAATAATGTTCAATCCTGACGACACCATAAAAAGCATAAGGCTAGGTTGGTAGCAAAAGGATATTCATAACAACCTAGAATAAACTACAATGGGACATTTTTCCTAATTGCTCACTAGACATAATGAGAGCTTTAATAACTCTTGTAGGACAAGAAAGATGGAGCATTCACCAATTGGATATCAAATCAACCTTTCTAAATGGTGTACTTGAGGAAGAGATATTTTTGAAGCAACCACAAGGATTTATAAGCAAAGGAAGTGAAAAAAAAGTGTTAAGGCTAAGAAAAACATTATATGGCTTAAAGCAAGCTCCTCGAATATGATATACTATACATCAAGACTCAAGGTCAGTATGATACTCTCATTTTCTCTTTACATGTAGATGATCTTATCTACATAGGAATAATATACAAATGATAAGAATTCGAAGAAAATATGATAAAAACATTTGACATGATCGACCTTGACTTGATGCATTATTTCCTTGACATAGAGGTAAAACACGAAAAAGAAGGAATATTTATCTCTCAAGAGAAACACAATGAGTTGAAATTGTATGATTGCAAATTTGTGGCTACTCCCCTCATGGAAAATGAGAAACTACGAAAAGATGATGGATCACCAAAACTTGACACATCACGCTACGAGAGTTTGATTGGTAGCTTATTATATCTTACAACATACACTCATATATCATGTGTCCTACAAGCCTTCTATCAAGATTCATGCAAAGACCAAACCAGATTCACTTTGGAGAAACAAAAAGGATATTAAGATATCTACAAGGTACAAATGAGTTTGGTATACGGTACAAAACCATGAATGACTCAAAGTTGATTGGCTACACTCTTAATGATTAGCAAGATCAATAAATCACATAAAAGTACATCAAGTTATGCATTCTCACTTGGATTGGGATTGTCTTTCAAGCATCTAACAAACAAGCAATACTATCACAATCAACAATAGAGACAAAGCATGTGGCAATAACTAAAGCTACAAGTCAAACTATGTGACTGTAAAGAATACTTGAAGAAATGGGAGAATAACAACATGGATCTATTGTTATCTACTATGAAAATAAGTTTAGCAATAACAATGACAAAATCCAAACTATCATAAAAGAAAAAAACACACAACTCTGACATATCACTTCATCAGAGAGGCTAAAGCGAATAAACAAAATCAAGTTGAGTACTGCACTACAAAGGATCAAGTTGTAGACATATTTACCAAGTCACTACCAAGAGTGAAGTTTGAGCAATTATATTCATGTTTGAAGTTACCGAAATTTGCACTAAGGAGGAGTATTAAAATAGATTATACAAATTTCTAGAATTAACAAAAATTCTAGAAAACTATAGATAGGATAATCATTCTAGAAATGTATGCAAGTAGAAGGACATTCTAGAAATTGCAAGTATTGATAATTCTAGAGTTGAGAAAATATAAAATTATCTAGAATATTATAAATTAACTTGGAGATGATAGATCAAACATATAAATGGACAATGCCACTTGTGTAATGTGTCAAATACTAATACAAACTCCTCTACATCTCCCTTTCAAGATTTCTCAATTATACCTTTCTAAACAACTAAACAACAAAGCATATTTTCTATTCTCCTAAAATACTATAAGATATTTGTTACAAGACACAAAGTAGTATTTGAAATTTGAGTACCAACCAAAAGAACTACTAAGAAACTGCATATAATAAATTTTATTTTTCTTTTATGTTCTAATAATGATCATGTCTTGTTAAATGAAGATAACTTTAACCATACAAACATAAATTAAAACCATAACATGAATAGAGAAAAATGGTAAGGATAAATAGAGCTATTTTCATATTTGTTATTGAATCATATTGTATTTCACTTACTGAACCATATTTAAGGCTAAATACATGAGAAATGACAACTCACATTATACCTATACTAGCGGTTAACAATAGCTTCTATAACAAATTCATTGAGCAAAAGATGTTTCGCTGAACGAGGTACTTACGAAATGCACGAACTATTGAGTGAGTTAAAATGTGCAAAAAGAAAACAGTCTAATAAGCAAACAAAAATAGAATGGACTTAGTGACCGGGTCCTCATTAAGAAACATATCAAAATTTAAAGGTACTAGAATGGAAGCGCTCAATGATCAAATGATTCGTTGAGTAACAAGTTTTTTTAATCAAGAGGTAGAAACACTTGAACTAAACTTGCTAAGTAAAAATTGATTCGCTAAGCGAAACACATAATTTGAAAATATCAAACTATTTGATATGTTTTGCTTCACCAAAAAAGTGTTCGCTGAATGAAAAAAAAATTGAATAAAAAATAGAAAACATTGCACAAGATTTGCTAAGTAAACAACTAAAAAATACACATGAAATTCAAAGGCTCACTAATTTAGTCTAAGGTAGAAAAGTAAATTTTTTTGACTTTTTAGTTTTGACACAAACTCAACAAAGAAAAACAAAGCACCAACAAAAGCAAATGTATACTAACCTTTAACGAATGAAAATTAAAGTTTAAAACAACACAATCACCAATTACTCCTCACCACTCACCTATGCATAAACAAGCATGTAAATGACATGAAATGTAAATCAAATACAGTAAATCTACATTACAAAATCTTGTAAAGTTGTGTAAAATATAAACCTACACTATCAAAGCATTTAAAGTGAATAAAATACAGAGGAAAGTTGTAATTTTAAAGAAATAAAGGAAAAAAAAATAAAACTAAGTCCTAAGAAAGAAATTAAAGGTTGCAAACAATAAAGAAACATGAAAATTTGAATTCTAAGGTTAAAAATTGAATTGAAGTTGAGATTGGTAAAGAGACATGAAAATTTGAATTCTAAGATTAAAAATAGAATTGAAGTTAAGATTATGCAGTAAAACAAGGAGAAAAGCTTTGGAAAAAATAGGTTGATTATCGAATTATCAACTTGTTCAAATGATTGTCACTGATTTCTAAACTTGTTTGCAATCACAAAATAAATTCATAATAATTTTGAACAATTACAATTCAATTGAATTAAAACACAAGTTAACTCCTAAATTAAGCAATCACTTAAACCTAAAAATTTAATTCTGATGCAAAATGAGACATTCAATCAAATAATCCAATTACATTAAATATAATGGATTATAATCGGTTGGAATCATTAAGAACCAAATCTAAACCATAGAAAATAAGTTTTAATTGGTGCATCTACTACTAGAAAAATGAATTAGAACATGATTACAAAGTTAAAAATAGTAAAATAGTGAGTAAAATCAAGAAAATGTGTAGAAATGTAAAAGAGAATAAGTGAAAACGAAAATTAAATAGAAACAATAAAGAAAAAAAAATATAAATTTGATCCAAAATATGTTGAATTGATATACATCAAGAAACAATTCGTACAAAATCATCAAGATTTGTATTTGAAAGTTAAGTCATAAAATAGTATAAGAAAAAAGAGGAAAGTAGAGAGAAAACTATGTTCTAAGATTTGAAACTCATAACTGAAACTTAACTTATGAATTTCGACCTTCTAAAGTCAATTCATACAACAACAAACATGTGTGATAAGCGCAAGACACATTCAACACCCGTAATTATCTAATTACATCAAATAGAACTTGAATCGCGAATATCTACCTAATTGAGGTTCTATGACTAATTCACCCAATTATTGCTTTTGTTTGCTTAGCAAAATTGACAATTAAGTTATTTAATCAAAATTTTTATCTTCCCTAAGTAAAATGTTTATTCACTTAGCGAATTTGCAAAATCTTCAATAAGTTACATGATGGTAATTCTTTAAGTGAAATTCCTCTAGACTAAGCAAATTCATCAAAGTAAGTCTTTAAATTTTTTTAATTTATTATTCTTAAAAAATAAGTAAATAAATAGTTAAAATGAACAATTTAGATATACAAAGATATTTTATTTTATTTTATCAAAACTATGTTGGTAAACAAGAATTAATTAATTAAATATACTAATTATGTATTTATTATGTTATTAAATTATTAATAAAATGTATTCATTAGTATCCAAGTGCATAATGCTTGAAAGACTTCATTTGTTAAAGCTAAATGTAGGCATGAGAAATTTTTCTCCTTCTTCGTAGTGTCCTCCTCATGTTGCTTGATTTAAGCTATAGTAGAATCAACTTTTAATCGTGGAACATTAAAACTTTAAACATTATTTTATTTTGGCAACCGATATGTGATAATTTTGCCTAGAAAAACGGAGGAACAACAAATATGACATTGCTCCACGAAGTTGTTGATCCCTCACTGATGTTTAAAATCTCCTCTCAATGTTGTTTTTTAAACCCATAACCTATAAGAACATTGCTCTAGATGTCATTGTTAAATGAAGATAGTTTTAACCATACAATCATAAAACAAAACCATAACATAAAAAGAGAGAAATGGTAAGGCCAAATAGAGCAATTTTCGTATTTGTTGTTGAACCTTATTGTATTTTACTTACTAAACCACATTTAAGGCCAAATACATGAGAAATGTTAGTTCTTCATTAGCACATACTTGTTGTTAACAAAATATCTTGTACCCACAACATTTAAAGTACAAATCTATTCAAAATCAGGGTAAATCTATCACTGACACAAGAAAACTGACCAAAAGAAGTAGACAAAATAACAACAATAAAAAGAAAAGTATTACAACTGATTCATTTAACACTTCTTAATCAAATTAAAGAGAAAAATTGAGCTGAATTTGTTGTATTGCAGGAAGCAAGTTAGTGGGTTCATGAAGTATTTTTCTATCAGTTTCTTGTGGGGTTTTTTCAAGTGGTTTTTTCAAGGGACACAAAGTTGCGGATTTGCACAGTTTCCTACCTTTGGATTGCAAGCTTGGAAGAAAACGTATGATTAAGTTTAACAAAGTAATATTCATGACATACCATTGTTGTTCCACATATTAGTACTACTTAGTCTCTTTTGTTTGAATTTGCAGGTTTTATTTTGATTTTAACATGACTTATGTGGGGGCTGGGATGATTTGCCCCCACCTGGTGAATTTGTCTCTACTACTTGGAGCCGTTCTCTCCTTTGGACTGATATGGCCACTCATCGATTTTCGCAAGGGACAATGGTTCCCTAACAATTTAGATGAGAGTAACATGAAGGGCTTGTACGGCTATAAGGTATTTTTAACAGTTTCTCTTATCCTAGGTGATGGCTTATACAACTTCGTCAAGATCTTAGTTTCCTCGTTCCTTAACGTACTTCAAAAAATTAACAACCGTAAAAATGGTAAGACAAGTTCCCATTTTCTTCTTCTCTTTTATTTTTGAAAAATAAATTATTAATGTGCTATGAGTGCATAATGAAGATTGAATGCATATTGAAGATATTTCAAGAGTAAATGAATTGTATTGATGTGATTATTTATATTTATAACTACTATAGCCTTCTAGGAGTTCTTTTTAAGTCTTTATAATATCACTGAATGTAATGCAAAATGTAAGTGAAAAGAAAAAAGTATAAAAATAATAAAATAGAGAGCAATTTAGTGCCAAATTATCTTCCTCTTATTAAAAAATATTTTGTATAATCTTATAAAAAGTAAGTTTCTTTAGTGTTATACCAACATCATCTTTAGAATACAACCAACAAAGTGCTATTAGAGTTGTACATCCTTCAAAGAAAGAGAGAGAGAGAGAGAGAGAGGAATGATGGCACATCAACTACAAGTGGAAGAGGAAGAGACCACTGAAGTGGAAGAGAAAATAAAGGGGAATCAATCTAATAGTGTGAAATCTATAAGAATAACAATCATGAAGAAAAAAAATTGTTGGAATAAATAAAGTGAGGAAGGAAATTTGGTCTTTGCTTATCAAAAGACAACTCAAAAGTGTAAGAATGTGTGTATTTAGACAATAGTTGTAACAATCATATGACTAGAGAGAGAGTAGCTTTTATCAGAATGGATTTTTCCTTTGCCTCAAAAGTTAAATTAAGGAATGGAGAGTATGTGCATGCAGAAGGAGAATGCAGTATTGGAAGTAAAATGGAGCAAGGAGGAATGGTAATTTGCGATGTCCTTTATGTGCTAAAATTAGATGAAAATTTGTATTATACAACTTTTAGAACATAGTTATTCTCTTTGATTTGAAAACCAAGAATGCAAAATTTTTTATACAAAAGAAAAAAAATGTTATTATGGTAAAAATGACTAATAACAAAAGTTTTCCACTTTCACTTAATTATGAGAAAAAGCTCAATTTGATGGCTAGAGAAGATTCTTTCTTATTTATGGCATAAAAGACTTAAGAACTTAAATTACAATTATAATGGTCTTATGTTGTTTTCTAAAATATGTTATGATGTTTGGGCTACCAAAAATTGATAAAAAAAGTGTAGTATGTGAAGGGTGTATGCTTGGAAAATATCATTGTCAACCATTCTCAAAGGAAGGAGTAAAGAGAGCCAAAGAAATATTTGAATTGGTGCACACATATATTTGTGGTTCAATTGGTACACTTTTTCATGGTCGGAATAGGTATTTTATTTTATTTATTAATGCTTTGATTCGTTTGACATGAATATCTTTAATGATAAAAAAATTTGAAGAATATGATGTATTTAAGAATTAAAAATACTTGTTAAGAATCAAAGTTGTAGGTTTATAACAATCTTGAGAAGTGACAGGGGAAAAGAGTATCTCTCAAATGAAATCAACAAATTTTATGAAGATGAAGGAGTAAACAAACAATTGATAGTTGGCTTAACACTTTAACAAAATTATTTATCAAAGAGGAAGAATCAAATTGTGATGGAGATGGCAAAATCCATGTTGTTTGAAAGTATAATTCCAAAAGTTTTTTTTGGCCAGAGGTTGTTAATACAATAGTTTATTTGTTAAATAGATGTCCAACATAAGCTATTTGGAATATGACTCCATTTGAATCATGGAGTGGAAGTAAACCTTTGGTAAACCATCTAAAAGTTTTTGGATGTGTTTGTTATGCTCAAGTTCCCAAACAAAACAAAAGAAAACTTGAAGAATAAGTGTGAGATGCATACTTATTATTTATAGTTCCATGTCAAAGGGATATAGACTTTACAATTTGAAGACTAAAAAGGTTATTGTTAGTTGAGATGTCAAGTTTGATTAAAAGGTGTTTTGGGGCTAGCAAGAAGAAAAGGTGGAAGACAAAACAATTTTGCAACAAAATTCGACAATGAAAGCCAGGAATTAATCCCAAATACACCAAATTTCTCATCTCCATTAAGTCTTTAAAGTTTATCTTCTCCAAACTCAAGTCTTACAAAAAGAAAGAGTTTGAGTGATATTTATTTAAGTGCAATTACTTTGTTGTAGAACCAAAAACGTTTGGAGAGGAAATTAAAGAAACAACTTGAAGGAAGGTCATGCAATAAGAAATTAGTATAATTGAAAAGACATGGGAGCTAATTGGGAAGTCAAATGACAAATAAGCTATTGGTGTGAAATGGGTGTACAAACTTTTGCTCTTGTGGCACTGTTAGATATCGTTAGAGCTTTTATTTCTCTTGCAGCTCTAAAAGGTTAAAATTATTTCAACTAGATGTGAAGACAACATTTTCAATGATGAATTGAAAGAAGTGTATCTTGAGAAGCCTCAAGGCTTTGTGATAGAAGGCTAAGAAGAGAAATTTTATAAATTGAAGAAAGTCCTTCATGGGTTTAAGCAAGCTCTATGAGCGTGGTGCAACAACATTGATAACTATTTCATGGAGAAAGGATTTAAGAAGAGTAAGAATGAGCCTACCCTCTATTCAAAATATCATGTGAAGGGTGTATTACTATAAATAATTTGAAGTTGATTGAAGATTTAGAAAAGAAATGATGGAGAGATATGAGATGAACAATTTAGGTTTGTTGCATAATTTTCTCGGGTTATAAATTTATCAAGAGGAAGATAGAGTCTTCATTTGTCAACAAAAATATGCTGAAAATTTATTAAAGAAGTTTGGGATGTTTGAGTGTAATCCAATTTATACACCACTAGTTATGGATGAAAAAATCAAGAAAAAAGATGAAAGAAGAAAAGTTTATGCTAGCAATTATAGAAGCTTGATTGGTAACTTATTTTATCTTACTAATTCAAGGTCTGATATAATATTTGCAACTAGTTTACTTTCTCAGTTCATGAATGATCCGAACCATGTCCATCTAGGTGTAGTAAAAAAGGGTGTTAAGATACATTTAAGGCACCCTAACTTATGGAATAAAATGTGACAACAAAGTTGAAGCAATGTTAGTTGACTTTTGTGATAATGATTGAGCAAGATGTATGGATGATATGAAAAACACATCTAGATATGTTTTTTCACTTGTCTCCAGTGTGTTTTCATAGTGTGCATATAATAAACAAGTTGTATCTCAATCTTTTGCAGATGCTAAATATATTTTAGCAAGCTTAGCAACCTAACAAGCAATTTGGTTAAAGAGAATACAAGAAGATTTTGTTGAGAAATAAGATGTTATAATTATTAATTGTGATGGTAAATAAACCCTTGCTATGGGTAAGAATCTAGTTAATAATGGAAGAACAAAGCATACAACCATAACATCATTTTAGTATAGAAGAAATTAATGAAGAAGTGAAGTTGCAAGTCCCTCGATCAACTTGATAATATTTTCTCAATGACATTAGCTTTAAAAAAGTTTTATAAAATAAGAGAAGCTTTACGAGTTCAAGAACACTATATTAAAGGGGAGAATGTTGATTAATGTGTTGTCAAAAAAGTGCTTTGTGAAGATTGAATGCATAATGAAGATATTTTAAGAGTAATTAATTGTATTGATGTGGTTATTTATATTAGTAACTGTGATAGTATTCTAAGATTATTTATGAGTCTTTATAATATCTCTAAATGTAATGGAAATGTAAGTGAAAGAAAAAAAAATACCAAATTAATAAAATCGAGAGTAATTCAATCCCCAAATTTTCTTCTAGTTACTCAACAATATTTTGTATAATCTTACTGAACATAAGTTTCTGGAGGGATATACCAACATCACCTATAGAATGCCACCAACAAAAATAAACTTTCTCACTCTAATTCATATAAGTTTATAACAACATTCATATTTTTCATCTAAAACACTTTATCTAAAGAATTCACTTTGTCTACTACTTGATTAAGAATTTATTTTTAAACATTTATCAATGAGAACAAATTTTCTTTTGAATTCTTTATTTCTCTTTATCTTATTATCAAACAAAACAACTTTGGATTTATAAACTAGATTTTGACCTTTGAGTTATAAGCTTTAAATTTTGTTAATGATATAAACTCAAAACATAAATATAACTATTGACTCTTGATTTTTTATATTAACAACGAAAAATTGTCAAAACCCCTAAAATTAACATTTAAGTTTATTCAACAAAATCTCCCTGTAAAATTAAAATCTTTCTACCATCCTTCATGCCGATTAACTTCTTGCAATTATCGAAAAATACTATTGGTAGTGCCTCAATATATTTATAACTTGATCTCAACTTGCCACATGCACTAACTCTACATTGCCTTCCCTAACATGTTTTCTGATACAATGAAAATGAACATCAATGTGCTAGCTCCTTTCATGATTAACTGGATTCTTTGCCAACTTTATTGTTGACTTGTTGTCAACTTATATCATTACCATTCCAAGTTGTTGTTGTTGTTGCAATTTACTTAAAATTTTTTTGAGCCATATTACAAAGCATAGACACCAAGAAGTTGTCACATATTCAACTTCGCATGTTGACGGTGTTACGATTGGTTGTTTCTTTGAAAGCCAAGTAAAAGTCATGTTACTCACTAAAAAAACACATATCTCGAGGTACTTTTCCAATTATTGAAGTATCCACACCAATTGCTATCTGAGTACCCACCTAACCTATAATATCTCAACCTCATATAAAATAGCCCGAGTGACATTATTCCTTGGAAATACCACAATACGCCTTCTAATGTGTATAGCTCGGCTCCTCCATGAACTAACTTGTAATACCAATGCTTAACATAAGATTTGGTCTTATGCATGTGAGATAGAAAAGCATTCTAACTAAGCTCCAATATTTGCTAACATTAACTCAGTCTCCTTCATCAAATTTTGAAAGTTTTGTACTCGGTTCCATTTGTGTTGAAATTGGATTGTAACCTACCATCTTGTATTTCTTCAAAATCTCCTTTGCATATGTCTCTTGAGATACAAAAATGTCTGTCTCATCTTGTTCGACTTCCAAACCAAGAAAAAACTTTATCAAACCCAGGTCTAACATCTTGAACTCACTTTGCCATTTACTCTTGAACTCTTAAACCATCTCACCATTGTTTGCCATAAAAATAAGATCATCCATATAAAGAATAACAAATAACGTATTACTTCCACTTTTCTTTACAGAAAGAGCATGTCTATAGAAATACTATTCAAACATGTTCTCCTTGAAGTATGTATCAATACGAGTGTTCCATGCTTGAGGTACTTGCTTCAACCCATAAAGAGCCTTATTCAGTTAGTACCTTAATCTCTTCTCCATTCTTCATGTACCCAGTGGTTGTTCAATGTAAAACCTCATTTCGAGCACACGATTCAAAAATGTCAACTTGACATCTATTTGTAATATCTGCCAATTGAATTGAGTTGCTTGTGAAATGAGCAACCAAATAGTCTTCATTCTTGTAACTAGAGCAAACACCTCATCATAATCAATTCCATCATTTTGCTTATATCCTTTTACGACAAGTCATGACTTGTAACGTTCTATCTCCCCTTGAGCATTCATCTTTTTCTTGAACACCCAATTTACACCAATGGGTCAACTACCACTCAACAATTTTGTCAACTCTCATGTGTTGTTGTGTTCAATTGCTCTAATCTCCTAGTCCATAACAGCTCATTACTTCTCGTCTCGCACTACCTCTGCATAACTTATATTCTCGAAATTTGTCAAACAAATGATGTGTACCTCATTTTTAGAATCATATAGATCTTACAAACTTCACATTTTAGGTTGTTATGGCTCATATAGAATTTCACTTCCATTGATATCCTCCAATGAATCTCTCCAGATCCATTCACTTGCTTCGTTAACTTGGACATCACTAGTCACCATGACTTTCTTGGTTATTAGATCTAGTAGCTTATAACATTTAGTCTTCTCATCATATCTAATAAAAATATACTTTCTACTCTTGTCTCCAAGTTTCGTTCTTCGTTGATCCTACACATGTGCATAGGTCATACTGTCAAACACTTTAAGATGAGTCACAAATGGTTTTTTTTTTCCATTCCATGCCTCTTGTGGAGTTTGATCATTCAATTTTGCATGTGGACGCCGATTTTGTACGTAGATGTCACATTGCACAGCTTCTACCTAAAACTTCTTTGTCATATTCTTACTTTTGAGCATTGACCGAACCATATCAAAAACCAATTATTTTCTCCTCTTAACCATATCATTTTGTTTTGGTGAGTATGGTGTTGCTAAAAATTGCCTTATTCTTTCCTCTCACAATACTTCATGAAGGTTATCGATGTATTCTCACCACCTCTATCGGGTCAGATTGCTTTGATGTGTCTACTAGTTGCCTTCTCCACCATCACTTTGAACCTTTTAAACACCTCAAACACCTTAGATTTTTCTTTTAGGGAATAAACTCAAATTTTATGTGAGAAATCATCAATGAATGAAATAAAATATCTTTGACCACTAAAGGATTCTAGGGTAATAGGTCCACATATGACAATATTAATAAACTTGAGATGTTCCTTTGCATGATTTTTAGTCTTCTATTTAAATGAGGTTCTTGTATGCTTGTTGAACACATATTCTTCACAAAATCTTCCTTCGTACTTTATAATCAGTAGCCCATGCATCATATTCTTTTTTGCCAACTCGTTTAAACCATCATGTTGGACTACATCACAATTATCTTGGGATTGAAGAAGATTTTTCAACTAAATGTTCTAATTGTCATAGTTCGTTATCTTCGTTTGCTAGTAAAACAGGATACGAATTAGTCTCACTCTCCATCACACTCAAGTTCAAAATACCAATTTGAGAAATTCTTTATTTCTCTTGTTTTTATTATCTAATAATATTATGAATTTATAGACAAATTTGATATTTGAATTCCAAATCTGTTAATGATATAAGATCAAAACATAAATATAACTACTTACTTTCCACCTTTTACATTAAAAACAAAACCCTGCTAAAACACCAAACATTTAGGTTTATTTTAAAAAATCAGTAGGGAGTACTCACCAAACACAATTTATTCACAAATCATTATGATTTCATTGGCCAAATCAACACCATGAGCTTAAATTCCATTGATAAGTGCATCAGACAAGACCTTTCTTGCAAAGATCAATCAAGAGTGGCAAACAATGCAAGCCTATCTTTCACTGTCTCCCACATTTCAAAACCTTCATTTCCTTGGATTCACAACTTCCCAACATGAAATCTAAAAGCCTAGCAGATTTACGTTTATCCAAACAAACACAACACAAACCCCACCCAACATCACCGGTGATGACCCATAAAACATTCACAAGATGTTCCAGCATCTGAAACATCAAATTCACTGTGAGAAGCATCATTGGTCAAAATCTTTCCAGAGACATTGTCGCTGAAGGAAAATCATCAAGAAGACGAGAACAACCACCAATCACAATCCCCGAGTCTTGAACGGTGGGTGCCGTGCAAGAATCGAACTTCAGGGTTTCTTTGGATTCCAAAGATTCACATCTCAGCTTCATTGATTCGTATGGATCCAATTCTTGATGGAAACAACACACCAAAGTGTAAATGCTATGCATCATCAACAGAAAGTGCAACCTTTTAGTGAGAGAAGTAAAGAAACTAAGATAAGTAACTGAATATGTTGAAAGATAATACAAATTCTAGAAAGATCTAGAATATAAAATCCTAGATGTTACTAGAATTAGGAATTCTATATGAGTAATATCTAGAATCCTTAGAAGAATATTCTAGAAATGTTTGAAAGAAGAAGATAGATAATTCCAGAGTTCAGAAAATCTAGAATTATGTAGAATATTTAGGAGATGATGGATCAATTCTATAAATAGGCAATGCCACTTATGTAATGTGAGTGGAAAATCTAATACAAGCTTCCACATATCTTGTAGCACTTTCAAGATCAATTACTATCTTCCCTCATACAAACCTTTTCCTATTTGTCTACCTCTTTCTAAAAACTATTTTCTACACAAATATCACTACTAAACATCAAACCATCTTTCCTATCCTTCCTAAAATACTAACAGTGGTATTAGAGCCAGGTTCGGTCACCTACTGGGCGTACAAAATTTTTTTTGACTACCTTAAAAAACCCAATCCCACTACTCATTACTTCCAAAAGAAAAATTTCAACCTATGGCCACTACCAACCAAACATCATCCATTATAGTTCCTATTTTTAAGGGAGAAAATTATGATTTTTGGAGAGTCAAAATGAGGACATTTTTTTGTTCTCAAGATCTTTGGGACGTCATAGAAGATGGGTTCACTATTCCAGAAGACATCTCAACTCTTACAGCTTCCTAGAGGAAGGAGCTGAAGGAAAACAAAAAAAAAGGATTCAAGGGCATTATTCACTCTTCAGCAAGCAGTTGACGACACTATTTTTCCAAGAATAATGGGTACCACAAGTGCAAAGGAAGCTTGGAATACAATTCAGGAGGATTTTCAAGGAAGCGATGAGGTACACAATATTAAACTCCATTCACTAAGATGAGAATTTGAGTTAATAAGAATGAATGAATATGAGACCATAAAAGATTATTATTCTAGAATAATAGAAATAGTTTGTCAGATGAGAGCCTATGGGGAAAATATTCTTGATATGAAAATTATTGAGAAAATTATAATTTCTATTCCCCAAAAATATGATGCAATTGCAACTGCAATTGAACAAACAAAAGAGTTATCTAAATTATCGGTGACACAACTAATAGGCTCTCTTGAAGAATATGAACAAAGATTGAAAAGGCGTGAAGAAGACTCAGTTGAAAATGCCTTTCAATCAAAACTAAAATTACTATTTCAGAATGGAGGAAATAAAATTAATAGAGAACTTTCTAGGAATAAGGAAAACTCTAGAAATTTTTCCAAGACTATTCAAGGAAAATATCCTTCATGTGGAACTTGCAAAAAGACAAATCACTTGGAAAAATATTGTTGGCATCGAGGGAAACCTCAATGTCAATATTGTAAGAAATTTGGACATGTGGAGAAAATGTGTCGCAACAAAAATCATCAACAAGCAAATTTTCCTAAAGAACAGGATAGAGAACAACATCTCTTCTATGCTACGAGATGTTCTGACAATGAATCAAAAGAAAGATGGTACTTGGACAACAAGTGTAGTAACCATATGACGAATGATCCAAGCATCTCCAAAGAAATTGATAACTCCATCAAAGTTCAAGTGCAATTGGGAAATGACACCGTGGTAGAGTCAAAAGGAAAAGATAGTGTTATGGTGGAGACCAAGAAAGGTATGAGACTTATCAATGATGTCTTACTAGTTCCCAATCTTAAAGAAGATCTCTTAAGTATTGGTCAAATGATGGAGAAAGGATATACTCTTCACTTCGAAAGAGATACATGCACTATCTATGATAAGAAAAATTTAGAGATTGGTCAAGTAAAAATGGAAAAGAGAAATAGAAGTTTTCCTATAAGCTTCAATCGAGGAACTAACATTGTCATGAAAGTAGAAGTTGATGACTCGTGGCTATGGCATCGTAGATTTGACCACTGCAATACTCATGCCGTAAAGCTACTACATCAAAAAGGCATGATGAGAGATCTACGAAGCCTTTAGGAGAGTAGCGAAGCTTGTGAAGGATGTCTTCTGGGAAAGCAACACCAATTACCATTTTCTATAGGAAATACTTGGAGAGAAAAAGACTTGTTGGAGTTAATCCACATAGATATTTGCGGACCGATGAGGACTCCATCACTTAATAACAACAGGTACTTCATTTTTTTCATTGATGATTTTCTAGAATAACTTGGGTCTACTTCATTAAAGCAAAATCAGAAGTCTTTGGAATATTAAAAAAATTTAAGGCCCTTATCGAAAAGCAAAGTGGAAAACAGATAAAGGTGCTTAGGAGCGATCAAGGAAAAGAGTACACCTCCGAAAAATTTGATAAGTTCTGTGAAGATGAAGGAATAGAAAGACAACTTACATTTGCATATACACCACAACAAAATGGTGTATCAGAGAGAAAACATCGCACAGTGATGGAAATAACGAGATCAATGCTGAAGGAGAAAGGCTTGCCAAATACGTTTTGAGCAGAAGCGATCTACACTGCCGTGTATATACTCAATAGATGACCAACTAAGGCAGTTCAAAACAAGACTCCTATTGAATCTTGGAGTGGAAGAAATCCATCAGCTAAACACCTACGAATATTTGGATCAATTTGCTACATATATGTTCCTGATCAGAGGAGGCATAAGCTTGAAGACAAAACTATAAGAGGAATATTCTTGGGATATAACCAACAATCAAAAGGTTATCGAATCTACAACCTACAAACAAAGAAACTCGTCATTAGTCGATATATTGAGGTTGGCGAAAATGCTTCTTGGAAAAGAAGAAAAAATTGTTAAAAGCAACATCCTGACTCCAGTACAACAACCTGAAGAAGACACAGGAGATCCAAATACGCCTCCACAAGAAGAAGAAGAATATACTTCACCAGAGTCTACACCAAGACGTGTAAGATCTTTAGTAGATATATATGAAACTTGTAACATGGCCATCATTGAGCCTTTCTACTATGAAGAAGCTTCAAAGTAAGAAGTATGAGTCAAGCCATGGAAGAAGAAATCAAAATGATTGAGAAGAATAATACTTGGGAGTTTGTGGACTGTCCTCACGGAAAAGATATCATTGGAACCGTACAAAAATATAAGACAAGATTGGTCGCAAAAGGATACTCACAACAACCTGGAATTGACTACAATGAGACTTTTGCTCCAGTTGCTCGTCTGGATAAAATTAGAGTTTTAAAAGCCCTTGTTACACAAAAAGGTTGGAACATCCATCAACTCGATGTCAAATCCGCCTTTCTCAATGGAACACTTGAAGAAGAGATCTATGTTGAGCAACCACAAGGCTTCATCAACAAAGGCCACGAAGGAAAAGTACTAAGACTAAGAAAAGCTCTATATGGCCTGAAGCAAACTCCTCGAGCATGGTATAGCAAAATTGATAAATATTTTATCGATCAAGGATTCAGGAAGAGAAAGAGTGAGCCAACTCTTTATATCAAGACACAAGGTCAGTATAATCTCATTATCTCCTTATATGTTGATGATCTCATCTATACAGGAAACAATAAGGAAATGATGAAAGAATTCAAAGAAGATATGATGAAAACATTCGAAATGACTAATCTTGGCTTGATGAACTACTTCCTCGTGATAGAGGTGATACAACAAAAAGAAGGAATATTTATCTCTCAGAAGAAATATACTGAAGCTCTACTAAAGAGATTCAAGATGTACGAATGTAAACCTGTCACTACTCCTTTAGTGTGGTAAACGAAAAGCTAAAGAAAGATGATGCAGCACCAGAAGTAGATGTATCACGATACAGGAGTTTGATCAGAAGCCTTTTATATCTCATAGCTACACGGATAGATATTATGTATGCTACAAGTCTTTTGTCAAGATTCATGCAAAAACCAAGTCAGATTCACTATGGAGCAGGAAAAAGGATTTTAAGGTATCTGCAAGGTACAAGAGAGTTTGGTATATGGTACAAGACCATGATCAACTCAAGGATGATTTGCTACACCGACAATTATTGGGCAGGATCAATAGAGACATGAAGAGTATGTAAGGATATGCCTTCTCACTTGGATCGGGTTTTTTCTCATGGGCATCAAAGAAGCAAGCAACTGTGGCACAATCAACAACAGAAGCAGAATACGTAGCTGTTGCTGAAACTACATGTCAAGCAATATGACTACGAAGAATACTTGAAGAAATGGACGAACCACATGGACCAATTACTATCTATTGCGACAACAAATCAACAATAACAATGACAAATAATCCAGTTCATCATCAAAGAACAAAACATATAGCTATTAAATATCATTTCATCAGAAAGGCTGAAGCGACTAAACAAATTCAACTTGAGTAACAGAAGATCAAATTGCAGACATATTTACCAAGGCACTACCAAGAGCCAAGTTTGAACAATTACATTTCATGCTTGAAGTTACAGGAATTTGCATCAAGGAGGAGTGTTGAAAGATGATACAAATTCTAGAATGATCTAGAATATAAAATCCTAGATGTTACTAGAATTAGGAATTCCACATGAGTAATATCTAGAATCCTTAGAAGAATATTCTAGAAATGTTTGAAAGAAGAAGATAGATAATTCTAGAGTTAAGAAAATCTAGAATTATGTAAAATATTTAGGAGATGGTGGATCAAGCCTATAAATAGGCAATGCCACTTATGTAATGTGAGTGGAAAATCTAATATAAACTCCCACATATCTTGTAGCACTTTCAAGATCAATTACTATCTTCCCTCATACAAACCTTTTCCTATTTATCCACCTCTTTCTAAAAACTATTTTCTACACAAATTTCACTACTAAACATCAAACCATGTTTCCTATCCTTCCTAAAATACTAACAACTATTTTTTACACAAATCTCACTACTAAACATCAAACCATCTTTCCTATCCTTCCTAAGATACTAACAGAATATAACATTAGTAAGGAAGTAAACTAACTTACAGGTAGTCATAATTATCAACATTCAAATACCCTAATTTCAATCTAATTTGACCGTGTGTATATATTCTGCTTCTAACGTGCAGCGAGAGATGAGGAGGCCAATAGCAACAGTGAAGAGCTTAAACAAAAGGAAGTGTTTCTGAGGGACAACATTTCGATGTGGATTGGAAGCGGGGGATACATAGTTCTGTCTGTGGTTTCCATAATCGTAATCCCCTTAATGTTTCCTCAGTTGAAATGGTTCTACGTTGTCATTGCTTACATCCTGGCCCCATCCCTGGCGTTCTGCAACGCCTACGGAACGGGTCTCACCGACATGAACATGGCGCACAATTACGGCAAAGTGGCGCTCTTCGTGGTGGCAGCAATGAGTGGGAGAGACAAGGGCGTAGTGGCGGGACTCGTAGCTTGCGGTCTGGTGAAATCCGTGGTCTCTGTGGCTTGTACTCTGATGCACGATTTCAAAACGGCGTATTACACGTGCACTTCTCCCAAGGCTATGTTCATATGCCAGTTGATCGGCACTGCTCTGGGGTGCGTGATAGCTCCCCTCAGCTTCTTTCTCTTCTACAAGGCCTTCGATGTGGGGAACCCGAATGGGGAGTTCAAGGCTCCTTACGCGCTTATTTACAGAAACATGGCGGTGTTGGGAGTGGAGGGTTTGTCGGCGCTGCCCCATCATTGCTTGCAGCTTTGCTACGGGTTCTTCGGCTTTGCGGTGGCCGTGAACTTGGTGAGGGACATTTGCCCGAAGAAGATTGGGAAGTGGATGTCCTTGCCCATGGTGATGGCGATACCATTTCTGGTTGGAGCGTACTTCGCCATCGATATGTGCCTGGGGAGTTTTGTGGTTTATGTGTGGCAGAAGGTTAACCCAAACAAAGCAGAGGCCATGCTTCCTGCAACTGCCTCTGGACTCATTTGTGGGGAAGGCCTGTGGGCGCTTCCGGCTTCCATTCTCGCTCTCGCCAAAATTAAGTCTCCTATCTGCATGAAATTTTTTGCATCATAGAATCAAATACACAATAAATGCCACTGTTAGCATCTACACGTCATTATATCTCGGAAATTTGTGTGGAAATGGGCAGATAAGATTCTAAAACAATGTTTTTACAGGCTCTTTTCTCTATCTATAACATGTATTTACGTGTATTTGATAATCTCGATCGTTATAAATAAAATTTATGGAATAAGGAAATATATCATATTTCACTAATTTTGATGTATATACGATAATATATATATATATATATATATATATATATATATATATATATATATATATATATATATATATATATATATATATATATATAAAACCAGAAATTTTATAACAGAATTCACGTATAAAAATTAATTATTATATAAAAATAAATATATTATATATTTAATATTATTAATCAAATTTAAATTTTGGAATGCAAAATTTATTTCATTTATCTTATTTTTTTCTTAAAAATAATCTATAATTTATTTTTTTCACTTAAATTTTTTTTCAAATTTTAACATCAAAATAAAATATTATAAAATATTTAAATAATTAAATAATTTATAACAAATATAAAAATTTATATCAATATTCGTATTTTTATATTATATTGCGCATGTTAATTTGTTATAATAATAAATAAATAAATAAATTTTTTTAATTTTTTTACATAAAATATTTATTATGAAATATCTTCTTTATTTTTATTTTTTTAACTTTGTATTTTATGCCTTCTTGAACAGAAGACGAAATATATAAAAAATCTAAAAGAACAAAAAATAAAATTTTTTAACTATATGTTACATAATAATTTAACAGTTGGTTGTAATTATTATTTTCAGTTAAGTTAGTTTCTATTATAAATATTATGTCTCTACATTATTTGGACACACTAGTTGTAAGAACCAATGCATATACAGTTTATGTTGTGTGCCTCTCTTTAGATACTCTTCTCTAATTGTGGTATCAAGAGCTTCAAGATCTGAGAAGAAGGAAGGTAGAAAAAAGAAGAACAATGACAAAATCTGAATTGCATGACAACATGTTAGTACTCGATAGCAAGAACCTGAATAGTTACAATGGTTATGAAGATGAAGGCCATTTTTAGATTCCAAGAAGTCTTGGACGTGGTTCTAAATGGATATGAGTGGTTACTGGAAAATCTCACCGAGGCACAATGTGCGACGTTTCAAGAGGCGAAGAAACGTGATTGCAAAACTTTGTTCTATATTAATCAATGTATTGATGAAAGCAATTTTGAGAAGATTTCGTTGACAAACTTAGCGAAATATAAGGATGATGTCACTTCAAACCTTGTATCGTCAGTATAAGTTATTGCAAATAAGGATGCAAGAAACCATCCAAGAATACTTTAGAAGATTTCTTTCGATCACAAACTTCATAAAATCATGTGGTGAAAGCTTGAAAGCATGAGCGGTGGTGGAGAAGGTGTTGAGAACCCTCGATTTTGAATTCGATATAAATTTTGTTGCTATAGAAGAGTCCAAGGATCTTGATTTGTTAAAGTTGGATGAATTATAGAGGTCATTGGAAGCTCACAAATAACAGTTACGTAAGAGGGCAACTTACAATGCATAATAGGCTTTGTTGATGAAACAAAACCAAAAGAATGAAGGTAATAGATGAAAATCGAACAATAGAGGTCAAGGAAGAGGTAAAAATAATGGTGGATGAGGCTCAGAAGGAAAACAAGACAGTTCTTCATAATGGAGAGGTGGTAGATTTGATTTTGGTTCTGCTAAGAAGAATATATAATGTTACAACTGTTACAAGTATGGTCATTATGCAACTAACTGTTGGAGTAAAGAAGAAGCAAATGTTGCATAGCAAGAAGACTTGGAGGATGAAGTGTTGTTGATGGTGACCACGACAAAACCAATGGAGACTTTGGTCAATCCTAGTACTTTGACACAAGTTGATCGAATCACATGTTGTCTCAGAGGAATTGGTTTGTTGATCTCGATGAAAATGTTAAATTAAAGGTGAAGTTTGCAAATAATTTGATATTGAACTGTGAAGGGACTTGCTATACTTATAGCCCACACATATCACCACATGGAATGACATGAAAAGGAATTTCTAAACAATATGTCCTTGCATCTAAAACCACAACCATCAGCAAAGAAATTAGTGATATTACACAGTTATAGGGAGAGACATTGTGTACTAGTAGAGATTTAACAAGTTATGTTTGACATGTCCTAACCATCAAATAAATGCACAATTTTTGATCCATTATTTTTATGAGGGGCTGATATCTACGAAAAGGAGCATGATTTGTGCGACTAGTGGTGGAGCTTTGATGATCAAACACCAATAGTTACTAGATACTTCATTTCCAATATGGCAGAAAATTCTCAGTAGTGTAGCATAAGAAATATGAGTTTTATATCCATGCATGAGACTAGTATAGTTGTTGAAGAAATACCTAGAGGTTGGAGAATAAAATTACATAATTGACATCTCTTGTGACACAACTAGTTATGGCATAGCAAGTGAATGTTGTGCAACAACTCCTAAAATCATGTGCCATTTGTGCAGTAGTTGACCATTACACAAATACATACCCTCAACTTCAAGAGATAAATGCAACACCATCCAAGGTAGTGACAAGTGTATTTCCTATATCACAGGCTTTCTTTAAGCCTCCTGCCCAACAATATTATAATCATTACTCTAGCACATATAATCCTGGCTAGAGAGATAATCCAAACTTGGGGATGGTCCAAGACCAAGACAACAACACAAATTTCAATAGTAGTAGCACCAACAAAAATACCAAGCCTTTCCATTCAGACAACAACAACAATAGTTTGCATCAACAACAATATTAGTAGAAACCACCTATGTAAACAAGTTTTAGATCTTCCTTAGAGAACCTCATCAAACAAATGAACACAAACAATTTAAAATTTCAGCAAAATGTTAGTGTAGCCATTCATGGCCTAAATACTCATATTGGTCGATAGCCACTATAATGAATAACATGCAACAACAAGGTTTGGTGTCCTCCCTTCTCAACTAGTTGTAAATCCAAAGGGAAACATGTGTGCCATTACACTGAGGAGTGCTAGAGAGTTGAATAAAAAATAGTAGTCAATCATAATATTTCAGCCCCTACACCATAGTAGCATAGTCCAGTTCCTACAATAGTTAAACAACATATTCCAATACATCAACCACCACCTTCTTCTAATTCTCCTGCACCAAGGATTCCTCTTCCTTATAGGGCCACTTAGTCGAAGAAGTTAGAATTTGATAGTGAGCTAAGAGTTTTAAGAAAGTAGAGATAAACATTCCTCTCCTTGATGCAATTAATTAGATTTTAAAATACGTAAAATTCCTTAAACAAATGCGTACTTACAAGAGGAGTCTGAGAGATAAACTGATTTAGAAAATGGGAATGAATGTGTTTGCACTGATGCAAAGTAGATATTTTATCCCTTAGTCCCAGTCTAACCTTCCACAAGAATGTGATGATCCTGGCACTTTTATTATTTCATGTATTATTGGTGAATGAATATTTGTTACTACCATGTTAGATTTGGGAGCTTCTATTGATATTATGCCTCTAAAAATGTATAGATTGCTTCATCTCAGTGACTTAAAACCAACCAACATTATTATCTAACTTGCAAAGAGGAGTATAACAAAACTATTGGGATTTCTTGAAGATTTGTTGGTGAAAGTCAACAATTTGATTTTGCTTACTGATTTCTATATTCTTGACATGCATGGTGAGTCCTCTAACCATAAATCCGTATTGATTCTTGGAAAACCATTCTTGATGACAACCAAGACAAAGATAGATGTTCTCACTGCCACACTTTCTATGGAGTTTGGAAATGAAATTGTTCACTCCAATATTTTTGAGGTCATGAAGCACTTGACAGATAACCATTCTACTTATATAACATAAATGTTTATGATTTAAATTCAAATTCAGATTCGGTTTTGGATTAAGATTCAATCTTAGCTTCGAATTTAAACTTATTATAGATTTTAGATATTGATATAGGTTGCACTTGTCACAATTCCGAAATGTGTACCATATGTGCTAAGATTAATTTTCCTATACATCAAATTTCCATTTCTTTTGCAGGTGCATATCATTTACCACAGGAGGTGATAGCAGTTTCTAACATATCTATTTATGTGCCCATGCTTCAATTACCATTTACTCAATAGCCACCCCCTTAAAGCTAAAGCCTTTACCTGATCATTTGAAGTATGCATATCTAGATATAATCACAGGCTTTTAGTCATCATGTCTAAGTAGTCTTCTTTAGGATAGAAATCACCTGGAATGATTATACAAAACAACACCCTACGTGCAAAATCTCAAACTCTAAGTAATCTTTCCAAGAATGTAAAAGAAATGCCTCAAAATTATTTTGAAATAATCCATAGTGAAAAGCGCAAGTTGTAACCCCCTTCTAGATTACATTTATTAATCCTAATTTCTTATCTAATTTAGTAATATATCAAAGTAATAAAAAATTTTAAGTGAAATTCTTCATAAAGTCATACTTATTTTTATACAATCCCTAACCTATGCTCTGAATTTTTTTTTGCATATGACATCTATCTCTTGAATTCTACATTCCTGCATCACACATCTCCAACATCTAGGATTGAAAATATTTATGGGGTTAGACATTTAATTTTATCCATAGCAAACAAAATAAACATTCATACGATAAAATCAAACAATGAAACATTCTTTCATAATAAGTTCATAACTACATATAAATATACAACCAGATATAATTTAATTCGAAAATTAATTATGAGAAACAAATAAATCAATCATGGAAACATAATAAAGAATATCATACAAATCATGAATAATTTACAATTTCATCATGCAATATGTTTATGATATGCACATGTGACTCAAAGCGTAAAACTTTAAAATCATGCATTTGACTCTAAAAAGATCATTTTTGACTCGGTGCTCCATGGAGACTCATATGAGTGTCTAGTGGAACCAGAGCTTAACA